ATAAAATTTTTATATAATTGTTGCTAGGTAACTTGATTGAATATAATTAAGTTATATGAGAACTTACATAATAAAATTTTTAAATAAAATATGTTAAAATACTTGATCGTTATTTGAAAATAACCATCAAGTATTAATTGACATAAGCAAATATGTAAGTATATACTTAACAATTATTTTCAAATAATCATCAAATAAGGCCTCCAATATTTGATGGTTTTTAACTATCAAGTAAGGGTGATTATAATATATGTCGCACCAACTGTCAAGTATTAACAAAAATAAATAACTGTCAAGTATTGAGGTATTCTGCGGTAGTGAATATACATTAGTCCTCATTACAATGTGCCATGACCATTCAGATATAAGGTCTCAAGTTTGAATTTATGTTAATGCATAAATAGTTCACCTTTGAGAGAATTATCTCTAATTGGATCCAACAATGCTTATGATGACCTAATCAAAAAGTCATGTAAAAAAGAGCTTGGTTCATATATGCAAGAATATTGTTTAAGCTAATAGGTGCCATTTTTTATTGCTCATAAATATCCTTCTATTGAAGGAAACTATGTTCGAGACATGATTGGATATTAAATCACTACAAAAAACAAACTTTTTGGTAGCAACTTTTAAGACCAAAAGTTGCCACTAAAAGTTTTTAGTGGCACCTTTTCACCACTAAAAGGTTATCACTATAACAATTATCGCTAATAGTTTTTTACGGTGGCGAAGTATACTTTTAAAAGGTTTTTTGCCGCTAGAAGTAATTTTGATGGCAACAAATGTCGCCCCTAAAAAGATTTTTAGTGATAACATTTATCGTCGCCAAATTTTTTTTAAAAATAATAAGTTATTTTATGTTACATTACTTTGTGACATGTGCATCATTTGATGCCATGTCACCTATCATATATGTGATGGATGATGTCATGTCACTTGCTATCTTGTGCTATGTCATAGGTTACATGTTCGACAAATGATGCCATATCACCCTACCACCTTATGCCACATCACTCACCACATGTGTGCCTCCCTTAAGTCACCTCATGTGTTACGCCACCATCTTGTGCCATGTCATCTGCCACATGTGTGCCTCCTCAAGTCACCTTATTTGCCATGTCACCACGATGCGCCACATCACATATTTGTTACAAAATATGACAAACCCTTAACCTATCTCACCTCTAAGCCTTAAGTCTCCCTTCTTTGCCAATTGAAGTCAAATGCACCTACAATTATCATATGCAAAATTAAATATATGTTATGTAACTGCATACACATATATCAAATAATATATTATTAAAAAGATATACATATATTTTATTTTATTTTCAATTATTAAGATGATAAATTTATTTATATGAATATTTAAATTATAATTTTAATAAAATATTATTTTTACCAATAAATATTATTTTGTTAGAAAAATGAACTTAAAATGAACAGTTTTTAAATATTAAATAATATTCTTATATACATTGTAACCAATTTTTAAATTTTATTTTTTAAATGAAAATTATTAAGTATATAATATATTTATAAATATGTATTATATTATTTTATGTTAAATATCTTTTACTTTTTTCTTCTCCATATTTTTCTCAAAAATTGATAAACTAAATGATTAAATTTTTATCTTCTTTCAAAATAGCTAAATGTTTCCCCCTCTTTTATTAAAAATATATTTTATCAATAATTTTTTAATATCTTAACAAATTATTTTAATAACAAATTATTTTTAACCACATAAATTTTGTTAATTGTCATTTTGAATAATTTTAAAAATGAATACTAATAACTTTTACAATATATGATAAGTACAAGAATCTCATATGTGATCAATCTAATTAATATCTAACTATTCTCAACCTCATAGCAAGGTAAATTTGAATAGCTATTCTTATTATGCTTAGTAATAATTAGTTATAAAAATGTTATTAGTAACTTCTTTTGTGTAACAATGAAAACCTAAATATACTAAGTGAAATTACATGGAATCCTTGTCCAAAAACCATTAGAATTCAATAGAAGAAGTAAACATCATATGTATATTAAGTTAAGCATCAAGTACATGATATGTCAGTAGTCTACAATAACATTTACATCTTACAATATTTGTATAATTTTAACATCCCAATATCATTTATGTATTTCTATGTAAGTGATCATTTATGTATAACTTAACCTAATTATAATTAAAAGTAATAATCCATCAAGATTTTAATTTATCATATTAAAATACTAGATTAATATATATGTCTAAAAAATATTATGAATAATACAAAATTAGAAGTAATTTAATAATTAAACTTAGCACATCTTAACTATTATTTTTTTTGTTTCACAATTATATATATAATTTATTTTTAATTTTGTACATAAAATAAGAAATTTAATTTCATAAATATATTTTGAATGATTTTACTTAATTTCAAATTTTAAAAAAAATTCATAAATTTTTTTAAAAATTTTAAATTATAATTTTACAAATTATTTCATATAATTTAAGATTATATTTAATTTTTTAAAAATATTTTTGGTGGCATCAGTGAATTATATTATTTATTTTTTATAAAAGTACTTTTGGTAAAGTGAATTATAGAAATTATTTTTAATTTTTAAATTTTTTTATAAAAATACTTTTGGTGACAACAAATGTTTTTAACAAAAGTAGACTATATAAATTATCTTTAATTTTTAAATTATTTTTTATAAAAATATTTTTGATGACAACAAATGTTATCATTAAAAGTAAACTTTTAGTGATAACAAATCAAGATCGCCGCCAAAAATATATTTTTGATGGCGACTTTTGATGGCAACAATTTATTACTGTCAAAAGTTCACTTTTGATAGCAACTTATGACTTTTGTAGTTGCCACTAAAATCCATTATTAATTTTTTTTTTTAAATGAATGTAGGCACCTCTCCCACTAGGAATCGAATCGTAATTTATCACACTGTGGGAAACTAATTCCCTTTGTTGGACCCAACTCTGATCAGTGCTCATGGATGTTTTTTAGATTGACTTAGCGTGTGTTTGGTACAGTTCTTGGTTAACAAAGTAAGCTTTTACAATTTTCTTAACAAAGTTTACTACCACGTTACTCTGTCGATGTAGATCAGAATAACAGATTTCCAAGCGCATACGGCAACCTAAAAGATCCATATTCAATTCTCACATCTACCTGTGGGCTGTACATGGACACCTCTACCACGATGTACATTGACAGCCATTTAAGTTTGGAACATGCTGAATTAACTGACGAACGTTTAAGCTTTGTCAGAAACCACCCATTATACCTTCTTCCATCTTCAAGTTGCAGATCCGAGGCCCAAGTACGTACTGAGCAGTTAATGGAGAGGCATGAGACTCCACCTTTTTTGTTTGTCTGACCTTTTCCCTCTGCAACTTTTCGAGCAGAGAAGTTAATGGCTGCATGAGACTTCACCTTCCCTAACAAAAAAGCAACGAGTGGGCATTCCCAATTCATCAATGCGAAAGGAACGTCGCGCTACGAAGCATGGGGTAGACAGATGGATATATGCTTGATCCAAGCACCGTGTAACGTGGGTTCTGACACTGCAATAAAAAACACTCCCACCTTTCATCTCTGCATTGAAGTTACACAAGCAAATACACGTTCATTGGATTATCTTCTTTTAACATTAATTAGAAGATGATGCATGTTCGATATTCAGGCTTATTAGGTTTTAATTATCAACAATATAAATTCATATTCAAACCACAAAACAATTGTCATCTGTTCAAGTGAGAATGCGCTATATATGGTCAATTATATTAAGCATCTCACTGCATGTACAGTTACAATTATTTAAAATTTCATGTAAGTTTGAGAATATATAGTTGAAGTTATAGCTAAATTAAAATTGGTAGAGTTTGAATTAGGGAGCATAAATATAAGAACACATGCAATTGAAGTTGATTCAAATTAGTAATACACCTGGTTTAAGTTAGAGAGGTATGCGGACAACTATGAGGACTAGAAAGTAGAAAAAGATTAAAGAGAGATGGGAAAGATAAGAAAGAAAAGGTTTAAAAAAACAAAAAGAAAAGCGGGTTAGTCTGTGTGAGCCTAGCTAAGGATATCTAGATTCTCTTCATACCCTCTTTCAATACATTTCTCAATACTCAATCTCATCCATTTATTTAATTATTCATTTGATTTAATACTATCATACTGCTAATTATGATAGTAAAATAAATGGATCAAATAAGTTTGTAATGCTTATTTATGATAATCATTAAATGAATAATATATTTATTTTAATGCCATAATCAAAAATCTTACACTAAATGGATGGATATGATTGAGCATTGAGAGTGAATATGGAGAGGATCTTGATTCTTGATAAAGCACAGGAGGTCAAATAAGCTCACCTCAAAGTGAGTTGGTTTTCAGCCAACCGTAATCTACCCTTTCAGGTGAGTCAGGTCTCTCTAGCTTTGATAAAAACTTTCCTTGAGTGAGAAGTTGTGTATTTAATTTCACTTATAATTTTTTTTTAAAAAAAAGAATACATAGCACTAACCTAGAGGATAGAGATACACAAAGTTACAATTATTAATGTTTACAACTTCAAAATGCTATGGCTTACTTTTTAAAAATTATATAGGTATAGCTTTTTAGCAAACAAAATGATACATTTTTTAGTTTTTTTTATTAAGATAATTTTTTGTAAAATTATGAAGGGAGGATTAATCTATTGTAAATGACTTTAATTCAGGGTCCGTTTGGATTTCAGTTGAGTATAATAGATTATGAAAATAATTGATTAAGTGGTAGATTTTAATCAAAATTAATTATGTTATGATGCAAACTGTTTGGATATTGAGATTAATTTCAACTGTGCAAATTATCATAAAATACATTGCTTTTTGAAATTAAATTATTAATAAAGTTGTATTTAATATTAATAAATTTTTTAAATTTTATTTAACACAATTATGAATTATTTACAAATTATTTATTATTAACATGGTAAAATGGAAACCAGAAGCAGGTATGAATAGATTAACAAAAAAATCGATTTTAGCATGTTTAATCGATTATCTCATTATTATGCTGTTTGGCAAATTTTGTTTTGAAAATCGATTAAACCCCAAAAAATCGATTCTTGACGCAAACCAAACGGGCACTCAGTTGTTAGTAAAGCTTGTAGTAATTAATTTTTTTGTGTGGGACCTAGATGTAATTCTTCCAATTATGAATATCAATAGAGTCAATAATACATTTTAGAATTTTATTTTTTCAAAAAGAAATATTATGAACTTTAAAATATCTTTCATCTAACAATGGGGAGAGAGAAAAATATATTTAAATAATAAAATAATGAGGGATAATTTTAAATGAAACTTACTAATGAATCATTATTTTTCTCTCTTTTCTGGATAAAAAATAATCATTACTTTTATAATTTATTAAATAATCATATTTTCTCAGAACATTTTATATTACAAAACATCAAATCACTCCAAAAAAAACATAATATAAAATGGGCGGGAGGAAATAATATTTATTTAGTGAGTACGAAAATAATCTTGATGGCAAGATGCATTTTAATCTTATAAAACTTGCATATGATATATCCAGGACAAAAGACAGCTACTTTGATTAATTCAATTTTTCAATTAGCATTAAAAGACAATTATGAACTTTTGCCACATTTACTAAATGATATAGAAGGGTCTAGAATAATATATAAAATAACATCTTCAAAGATGAAATATCCGCTCATGATAAATATTAAAATGTTTATTTCTTAAAATTACAGTACAGAATTTAACGGACCTATTTTAGAATTTAAAATTAAAAAATATATATTCACACAATACGATTTGAAATCTAAGTAAATTCTTGCATTTATTGCAAAAATTATTTCACATTTTTTTCTCGTATAACCTGCTACTATATATATGCGTGCATGGCAAGTGAATGTCGCATGCAATAACTTAACTTTTCCATACACAATAATTTACAACTGAGATATGGTGATGGAGAGGAAGTTGACTTATCTGCTTCTGGTGGGTGTGTGTTTGATGGCAGGAATATCCCAACACGCAGATGCGAGGAACTTGAAGAATGCAAAACATCACGACGAAGATGTGAAGAAGCCGGCGTCCTTTCTCGGGGACAGCTCCGGAGGGTTGGGTGTAGGCGGTCTCGGAGGAGGGTACGGCGGCGGTGGAGGCGGAGGATACGGAGGAGGAATCGGCGGCGGAGGACTGGGAGGAGGAATTGGATCAGGCTATGGGGGAGGCATAGGAGGAGGCATATTCAAGGGAATCGGAGGGTACGGAGGGATCGGAGGAGGAATTTACAAGGGCTTTGGAGTGGGAATCGGTGCCGCCGGTGGCGTCGGTGGCGTTATCGGAGGCATGAAGCATGTTGACGCAAATAATAAGCAGCCTTGAGTGTTAGGTATATATAGACTAATTAACTAGTTCCGTATCCTCATCAGTGCCAAATAAATCCACTGCTCCGTTCATATATATATATATATCCAGATAGATATTTGGTTATCTTCTTGCTTAATAATGTTCTGCACCCTCAGGGTAAAGTTAGCGTTTCGATGTTGTTGTGTCTTCACTTTAGTTCTATTGTAGTTTGTGTGGTTCCAGTCCTCGGCTAATTCTTCAAATGGTGTGAACAAAAAGAAAACATGCAACAAAAATGCGTCTTGTGTTTTCATCATCTCGTTCACCTACATAGCTTGTTGAGATATAGAAATTAATGTATTATTCATTTACGTTAGTTTGTGAAAGAGCTTGATGTTCTATGATTTCAAGTTGACACCTTTATTGCAATTCTTTGTTTTAAGATGAAATATTATATTCGTGTCTTACACATACCTTTTTTTTTTTTGAGCAAAAGTGTCTTACACCTACCTAAATGTGGGAGTTAACATGGGCGCACCTAGTGTATGGAGTTGACTCATCATGGGCCGGAAAAATGGCCCAGGTTGGTTGGTCAGTTGAGATTTTATCAATTTAACCTATCAATGGTGGGTTGCAGGATTTTGATTTTGAGGGCTAGCTCATACATTAAAAAAAAAGGGGGATATTCCCATGCGCAAATTCAAATAAGTGGATGAAAATTTATAAATGCACTGCAAATAATAAACCCCATCAGGTGGCATGTGCGACCGTGCGAGCTTTAACGTTGTTTGAAAATTGGGATTTTGAATTGATGCGCTCTCATGGCGCTTCGCATGCCGATATAGCACAGAGGTTGCGCGGACAGTATTTCAATTTTCACAATCCTCTCCTGACTTCTGTACTTTACTACCCTGTTCATGTATTTGTACTTGTTAATTAATTAACTATAAATTTTGATTGAGAAAAACGAACCGACATATTAATATGTGTGTTATGTTATGTGGGCCAAGTCAAAATTGATCCACTTCAAAATGGGTAACATTATATTTTCTGCAATCCAACTACTTGGTTTTGTTGACTTACCAACTCATTCCCACCATATCATGTGCAAAGAGTTTATAATTGAGCACAAATTCAAGAAGCTCGGGAGATATTGAACAGTGTAACTGTAATTCAAAGATCAAACAATTGAGATTGTCAACCTTTAAAAAAAAAATTGAAGCTATTACTTCGCCTCAAGTTATTATGTTAAACAAGTTCATAATCGTGCATGTTTCATGACAAGGATGTAATTAGGGGTGAACAAAATTGAATCAAAATCGAAGATCAAATCGAATTGAATTTTATCTATTTGATTTTTCAATTCAATTTGATTTTCTTTTAAGGAAATTAGTTGATCAATTCGATTCAATCTAAAAATTTTTGAACCAAATAAATCAAACCGACCGAATCATGCATATTTTTCTTTTCATATTTTTAAAAATATGAAGAAATTCTCATCTAGGTAAATAAGATACGTCTTTTTACTACTTGCAGTAATAGTATTTTTTTGTTTAATTTGATGTTCTAATTTTTATTTCTATAATTTAGTTTTTAATACAATAGTACTAAATTTTATTAATTTTCTCATGAATTATGGTATAAAATTGCTAGTTTTTAGTTGAGCCTTCAACATCAAGGGAAAAAATTGGATAGAAGAATGTATAAATAATTACACTCCATAGACCCAAATCAAAGCCTATAAACCGAATAGATCGATCAAATCAAACTATTATAATTTAGTTCATTTCCAATTTGGTTTAATCATATATTTTGATTTGATTTGATCCAAGTTTTTTATATAATTCGATCGATTAGTTTTACATAAATTAAAACCGAACTGATCGAATGCTCACCCTTAGATGTAATCCCTTTATTTCTTAATTAGGGTAAAAATCTATCAAAAATATCAAGAGCAAAATATAGTTTTAAAAGAAAAAAAATCATTGAGAGTAACTTGCTATTGAAAAGAGAATTCCTTTTATTTTCCTTGTTTGGAAACATGACTTATGAGTAAGAGTTTATCTCTCTTAAATAAAATCTCAGCTTTGAACAATAAGGGTTGGGTCTAATGAAATAGACTAGTATATTTTTTTTTGCCACATAAGAAGAAACTAATAATAAACAAGGTAGAAACCGATCAAAACAACAACAAAAAACAAAACAAAAAAAAAAGAAGGGAGCAAAAATACCAAAGATAAATGCAACAGCCAAATGGAATGCAGGGAGAAAAGGAGAAAGGCAAAGATCAATCCTAGCTATCTCCAAATCAAAAGTTAGGAAGAGAGCAAGTAGGGATGGGGGTGTAAACACCCAATCAATTACTAAGCACATCCCTTTAAGACCTATGCGGGAAATGACACCCACAACTGTAAACAAACTTAGTTGCCACTTGAAGCTATACTGTCGTAAAGCATTAACAAGATTTAAACAAATCCACCAGAGCCAAGCAAATCCCATTGAAACACAATGTATCCTTGAAAGTAGCTTGCACTAGTGGAACACAAACAATATCCTTTAACTCCCTTTGACTCCATAAGAGAAAACCGGAACTGGATAGTAGCTTTTGAGGAGGAACCCATCTCAAATCATCCTTTATTTTGCCCTCTATAAACCTAAAGTAACAAGCCAGAACATAGCCAAAACAAGGCCACCCAAGGCAATAAGCAATAAGCAAATTGATATGCCCCACTGTCATAAAATAGATCAGGACAAAATTGCAAGAACCACCTCTATCAGCAAGAGCCTCCCACAAATCATAGTAGTAAAGAGATGAAAAAATCAGCAAGTAAAATATATTTTCAAGAGGCACCAAACTAGATAAAACCAATTTAAGCAATCTATATCCCACTAGAGCCTTCTCCAAATTACAAGTAACATAGTAGCAGAAAAAACCGAGATCAAGCTTCACCAATCAACATTGATCAACAAGGAAGAAAATACCTAGTTGAAATGAGTTAGAAACATTAACCACCCACCCACACAAGTTGAAGCCCCAATCCTTGAAAATCGTTGTCTTCACACACAGTTCCTGGATTGAAATTATAACCCATCGACAATCTTCATGTTGAGGGGATCGGCAGAAATGCAAGTATGAAGGTACGGGTTGCTCGAGTCGTGCCCAGAAGGATACTGTCCTTGAGAACTATTTCAGCACACCGTCAGACGACCGACCGGTAGTTCCCCAGGATTAAACAAGCACTTCCTTGGTGGAACGAGGGAACAAAACAACCGAGACCAAATGCACAAACAAAAACAGGTGGAGGAGAGGAGGGAACACTGAACAGTCAAGAGACTCTGCACCGCTATGTCTGCACGCATGGCTATATATAGCCGAAGGTGGACATGAATGTTGGAGGGTTACCACCGGATTAAAGGCTCGGTTACACTGTCATAAAATTGTTTAAAAGCTTGTCTGAAAATGGAGAGGTTACACAAACGTAAACTGCATTTAACCTCCTATCTGGAAACGTTAGGAAGGCAAAACGTTCAGAAAATTAATTTGGTTAATGATTAAAAAACATTTTTTGGTTTGGTTTCAAACTTCAGACAGCCAAAATTTGAGTTTCTCCAGCAAGGTAAAAAATAATTATTTATTTTGTAAAAATAATCCAGTAAAAGGAACCCATTATCTCTTGAACTCGAGCGCAGGGGGGGCGAACCGGCTGATTTCAACTGCGATTGCCCTGAGTTGGCCTGTCTCATGTGCGCGAGGCCATTTCTCCTCCAAGCCTATTTTACTAGCCCACTTCATTCCTTAGTATATATACACTAGGAGATTCCTTCCTTTAGTCAATGTGGGACTTTGACACACACACTCTTTTGACATACATACAACAATCCCCCACATGTGTCAAAAGGATCTATATTCATCTGTGTTATTCACACGGAGGATAATCACTTTAATTTTGGTGTCTGTCGACTTGAACCAAACCTAGACTAATAAAACTTAGCACACAGAAAAGTTAGTGTAACTTCGTTATTGAACCAACAGATCTTGAGCGTGTGCTAGAGGTCTTATTGATCAAATTATACCCCCACAGTCTTTATTGTTAACGACGGTTTTGCACGTTATCGGCCATGCGCACGCCTGGTTTTAACAAATGCTCTACAGATTTTGCCACGATCTTATAGGAGCGGCCCTACTCCACATTTGTATAGGCGTTTTCATCAAGTGTATCTACAATGAATACACCATCTGTAAGGACTATGAAAACATTAAGAGCTATCGCTCAGCCTCCGTTCAATGCATTCTAGCACTTTCTCAAGCCATAGGAAGGGACAAAATTCAGTGCTAGCAGAACTAACAAGTGACTTGTTCTTACCTATTGAACCTTCTTCATGGGATCTCCAATCATAAAGGTTGGGTTGACATCATCGTTAATTTCAAACAAGCTTAAGTCCCATTCCCCTCGACGTTTCAATAATAAATTTCTTCCCTAGGGGTTTAGTTAACGGATCCGCCAGATTTAACTCTGATCTCACATAATCGATTGAGATGACCCCGTCTTTGAGCAGCTGCCTTATAATATTATGTCTTAATCGAATATGTCTACTTTTGCCATTGAAGGTCTTATTTTTAGCTGTTGCTATTACAGACTGGCTATCACAATGTAAAGACACTGATGGTGTGGGCTTTTCACCTATTGGAATACTTGCTAAGAAGTTTTTCAACCACTCAACCTCAGTCCCAGCCAGCTCCATGGCAATGAACTCAGAATCCCTTAAAGATTTTGTGTTGATTGTCTGTTTTGTAAACTTTCAGGTTATTGCACCACCACCAAGAGTGAATATATAACCACTAGTGGATTTTGTCTCTTCTGAATCTGAAATCCAATTAGCATCACTGTATCCTTCCAATACAGCAGGAAATCTACTATACAATATACCATAATTCATGGTACCTCTCAAATATCTCAAGACTCTCACCAGAGCCTCCCAGTATTTACTGCCTGGATAGTGAGTATATCTACTCAATCTGCCTACAGCATAAGCTA